TTTTTTTTTTTTTTTCATTGAGTTAATACTACCGATTCCCAAAGGTCAGAAATTTTTTTTTTAATTTTACGCGTAATGCTACACACATGCATGCATATAGGTATATTTTACAACAATACTCTGTGAGTCGGTTAGACAAAATTAACTCAGATTAGTTTCTCAGTAATAATATACTTTTATTAAAAACTTTTATACAAGAATACTTCGTTACGAGTTAAATGCTTAAAGATTTGTATACACAGATACGCACACACGCGTGTGCACAAGTACGCTATAAGATTTGGTTAACGTGGCGATTTCAAAAAAATCTTAGGAATGAAATCGCATTAAAAATAATTTCGTATGTAAACACGTGCACAGCGAGGATCAATGAAAAATCCGGGGTGTCTAGTCAATTAAATTTTATTTCCAATTCCTCTGTCCGGCGGTCGAGTCGATGTTGTGCTCGCGCGCCATGTGGTACTTGAGCAATGTTTTGATCCGAGCTCGGTGCGGACAGTAGGGACAAGGGTAGAGAGGCTCTATCTGGCAAAAATAGTTCATGTGCTTGCGCAAGCTCCGCCAATCGCTGTAGCTTTTGTTACACTTCAGACAGCGCAGCTCGATCTTACACTGGTGCCAAACTTCCGGCGACAGCAAGTTGCAGAATAGTACTTCTGGAATGGCAAAATTATTCGGCACGCGTTACTTTTTTTTTTCTTTCTTTTTTTTTTTTCATTCATTTGATCGATTACTTTATATTTTTTCATTCATCTACGTTTTACTATCGTTCAAGCCAAGGGGTTCATTACGGGTGTATTTTACTATTTATTCATCATACAAGAGCATACACAAGCACACATACACGCACGCGACCACACGTGGGGCGATCAATAATTGATGAGCATAACTCGAATGGACGGCGCAATCTACAGTCCAAGTCATGGGTGACGCAACTTACAAGAAAAAACATGATGAAGGTTGAAAAAAAAAAAAAGAAAAGAAAAGAAAAAAACAAGGTAAAGTTATTTCCGCTTGTGCTTTCTCAGGTCGTAATTGTGTCGATTGAGCAGGTGTCGCGCGAGACTGGCCTTTTGAGTGTAGCGAGACGAGCAGAGCCGGCACCCAAAGTGCTTGCGACCGCCGCATTCGAAGCGGACGTGTTTCATCAGATTTTGGCGCAAGGAGTAGGACTTGCCGCACTGCTGGCACTGCCATGAGCTTAAAGAGTTGGTCCGTTGTTGCATCGGTGGTATATTGTCGACGAAGCCTGAAAATACATATGACCGGTTGAGCGAAGATACATCAGGTGGTGGTTGTCGATGTGCTTGGATTGGATGGATGGGAGATTGCTGGTATATTCGTAAATGTGAGAAAATCATACCAGATACTACGTAAATATGTGTGCGTATATCACATGCGAATTAGTTTATCAAAGGAAGGTATACTGTACCATCAGATTCTTTTTTTTTTCGCTTTGGTTTACAGATGGGTAACATATGAAGTATCATCTCGTCACCTGCAAAAATAAAGCGTGTATCGTTAAAAGTGTAATGGAACGAGCACTGGTGAATTTTTTTTTTTCATCAACTTACAATGACACAAGAGTACATTAGGTTTAATTGACTTTATTTTTAAAAAATTCACTTACAAAGTACAAATGGATATGTTAATTGCACCTGAGTGTACTTATTGGTAATATATTGTAAGTATACCCATTACCGCTATAAACGTGGTTCGTAGTAACAAAACGCGCTTGAAACATTAACAAGAAAAATAAAATCTGGTTACAATTAAACGTTAACTTATTAAGACTCAAAAGGTATAGAAATGTGATGTTCGTAGTAGAGAAAATTAATTGTCAAACATAATATGACGACAAATGTACACATTGCGTAAATTGAGTTTGTAAAATTTTTTTTTTTTATATTAGTCTCCACCGTGTAACTTAAACATAATGTTACGTAGCATTGACGAATAAACTATAGTTATTTTTTAATTTAAAATTAACACACGTAAAATATAAATGCAAGTATATTTATCATTTAGTCGTCAATTTTTAATAAACATATCGTCATTAATGAAAAATGGATCTAAACCTGTATCCTTGGATATTTAAATTAATAACTGGTTGTTAACAAAAAACAGAGAAATTAACACAGTTCTCAAAAAAAAAATATATATATATATGTATATATATATATGTACTCACTAACAAAATTAAGAAACAAAAATGTTAAAAATGACTTAACACGAATTTATTCTGATGCTCGATCGCCAATATCTGCTGCTATTTTTCTGAACTAGCGAATCATTGAAATAGATAATGATAAAAGTACAATAATGTGCTCTCATATTTAAAATTTGCGGCGGCAATCGCATCATCGTGACGATAAACCACACGCTTACCAAAGGGTGTTTTTGAACTTTAATCCAATAGTGGAGCTCAAAAGGGCCCTTTTAAACAGTTTTTTATTTGACCACTATTAGGATTCAATACGAGTTAAACTGTTAAATGTTTTGCCTGTATAGTTTGTATTACATTGGCGCTACTCGTATTTTTTAAAAATTTTAATTTAAACTAAGGATAAAAAACTTAACTTGAAATGTCACAATGGTAAAAATATTTTTTCTTTCTTTTTTTTTTTTTTTTTTTTTTTTTGTGGTGCCGTATGTGTAATCAACGCGGGTGAAAGTGTTGACACCTAAAAATAAAATCCCTACTGAAAAAAAGGGGAAAAATCACTTGAGTACCGTTTGTTGGCCAATGGCACTTCTCCTGAAAAAAATCTGGAAAAAAAAAGACTTTGTTCGGCAAATCAAGCGACCGAATCATCCGCGTTCGGATGCTTGGCTCTCAAGTGCCGGTCGAGATTAGATTTCTGCGTGAACTTGGACGCGCAGTACTTGCATGCGAATTTTGGCTGGACGTCGCACTCGTAGTTACGATGCCGCCACAGGGAAGTGAAAAACTTGTAGCTCTTGTTGCACTTTGAGCAAGTGAAGGACCGTTTGATTTTGGTCTTGATGGTGGTAAGTTGCTCGTTTTCCTTGGGAGCGACTTTTTTGCGCAAAGTTCTGGTCTGCCTTTTGCGATCGTGTTTGCCGGCCACGTTGGTGCTGGTGGTGGTGGTGCTTTGCTTGTTTTGGTTGGTGCCGTCGTCGCACTCGTATGTCCGGTGGCGCACGAGACTGGCGCGGATGTCGAAGGTCCGCTCGCAATCCGGGCAGTTGTACTTGCTGGGCTTCCACTTGGTCTTGGGCACGGATTCGCCCGAACGGAGACGCCGGTGTAGGAAGAAGTCGCGGGCAGACGTGGCTGGCACCGTTACCATCGCCGGCATACCTGCGAACAGAATATTTACGTGCACGTATTAATCGATGTGTCGAGTCGTTTGTTTTTGCTTACTTGACATACTTTTTTTTTTTTTTTTCTTTTTCTTTTTTATGCGTATACATACTTATATTTGTCTTTGGGATTTTATTGGGATATAGGATGCGTTGAATTGTATAAGGGGCTAGGAAAAATTTTATCACGGTATTGCTCATAATATTCGATTACACTAGTTGTTTGAACAAATTTCTTCAACTTGGTTTTGGCAGGATTGTTTTTCTTTCATAACAGGTATTAAATTTTGTATTTGGTAAAAAATGAGTCATATGCACCTAACAGTGTGTAGCTGTGAGAATAAACTGGAGAAAATTATAAATACTTCGGTACTCTGTCACATCAGTTGTACTGCCTTACTGTTCAAATCAATAACGTAAAATTTTTTATCTGGATGGAATGCCGTAACGCGTTTCTTCATGCTAGACTTTTTTTTAAAAAACGAGGAAACAGAAAGGGCACTTTATAGAAGGTAGTTTATTACACACGTGAGCTACATGATGGCGCAAGCTTCGATTGTCATGGTAAACCTTGTCGCATCTGGCGCACGTGTAGCGTTTACTGGTGTATGTTTCTACAGTTGACGACTTAATTTTCGTTATTTTCTTAATTTTGGATTCTGGATTGTTGAAGGCGACGAATACAATCGGCTGGACTAACTGCTCTGAAATGAAATGGAAAGAGAGTTAGTGACAAGTGCAAGGGGTACATGAAAAAAAGATTAAATTTCGACTGGTTCAAAAGATGCGGATGTTGCTTCGTTTATTACGTGAACGTACTGGGGTAGAAAATAAATTTGGCTCGACACGAGATTTGAGATTTGTCTTGGTTTTTATTATCGTAAAATACTTTTACAGACAAGTTTGTGCGATGGAAATTCCAAAGTCGTCAGTACAGATGATTGATACGGCATTGCGCGTAATGTATCAGTCGTCAAAAATATTTAGATTCATAATAAAATTATATAAATAAATGTACTTATTTTTTTTTTATAAGTTAACGTTGTGAACAAAAACTACAACTTAAAGTCTCATTTTACTCGGTGTATATTTATTATGTATTTACAAGCAATACTTTTTCCTTCAGTTTTACACCCTAACTGGAATCATAATGTACAATATTTATTGAAACCTATACAACAGCGTTGTTAAATTATCTTTGAATTCATATAATATCATTGCAAAATTGCACATTTACAGTAAGGAATTTGATTGCATGAAAATATAAATTCATTATAGTAAATTGAGTTTGTAAAATTTTTTTTTTTTATATTAGTCTCCACCGTGTAACTTAAACATAATGTTACGTAGCATTGACGAATAAACTATAGTTATTTTTTAATTTAAAATTAACACACGTAAAATATAAATGCAAGTATATTTATCANAACTCCAAATCTAAACCACTTTATAACTATCCTATATTTATATATAATATAAATATGCTTAATTTTAAATTAAAAAACTTTCAGGGTACAACGTATTCAATTTTTTTTTTTTTTCACCAAAACAAAATTTGACCAACCATTATTTCGATAGCTATTAGGTAATCAGTTTTTAATATTATTGCATTTACATTTACACAAAATAATATGTGATGAAACACAGTCCAATTTTTAAGTACAAAAGGAATTTTTTTTACGTTACTGGTCCGTCCCCAGTTGCACGGACGGAAATACCCGCTTCCCCGACATCAGGACACATAAAATCGTACACCCACCACGCGTGGAAGTAAATAAGCCTCAGATCGTTCGCTCATCAATACACGGCCGATCCAAGACTTTTTTTACTTTCCCGATTTAAGACCGTAATATACTTCTTAAATAAAAAAATTGTCAATTACAAATAAACAATTTAATCATGCACGAGTAATTGATTTATCGCAGTTTTTGTAATTGTGTAAAATACCAATAGTCTAATGAATAAGTCTAAATTAGACCCAAAATGAAGACACGACCATCATTGTCACGAAATCGGTACATAATTTGTTCAAGAATAAAAATAAACAAACACGTAAATTCGTAAATATCAACGATCACTCGAGCATGTCGATAACATATACCCGTTTGTTCGGGTGTTTGCGCACCACGTGCTCCTTGATATGAGTTTGCTGTTTCGACTTGTAATTGCAGTAGGGACAGAGAAAACGGGGGTCTAAGCCGCACTCATACCGCCGATGTCTGTTCAGGCTCTGTTGAAAAACATACGATTTTCCACACTTTTCGCACACATAGCCCTTGGCCGTGGGCTCGGGGCGGCGTCGCTGTAGTCGCGGCTGCATCAGTACCGAGCTATGATTAGACGATAATATGCTCACAAAGGGGTCGTAGAAGCTTGGCACTGCTATTAACGCTAGAACACAGAAAAACATCGAACAGGTTTAGAAAACGCTTGCAAGGGTGTGCCAAATTTTTTAATTGAAGGACTTGCGTTACGTGAAGGATGATGCGTTTGAAACAGGTCGTGTGGGAGGATCGAAGGATTATACATTTCCATTGTGTGTGGTTGAGAAGTTGACCATCTTTAATGTTGGGTACGAGTTAACTACTGGTGTATTACATAATTAAGCATACGAAAAAAAAAAAAAATTTTTATTTACACGATACAACGTTTTGTTTTTCTAGTAAAGTTACAAGAAGATAATATAAAATTAATGCAAATTGTAAGGATTGCAAGTACATCTTACCATTAAAATTTTGAAGAAAACACTGGTCCTTTTTTTTATAATTTACACATCAACTGTAAACGGATGAATATTGCACAAAAATGATTGGATAACAAGGGATCGTACAATCGAAATCGTAACAGTTGGTTCAACTTTTTATTTAAAAATCACAAGTATACATTTCGTTACGTATGTAGAAATGGCCATATTTACGTTATATCTACTTAAAATCGTATTAGTACCATTCATTTTAAGATATTGTAAAGCCATAACAAATACCTTCATTACTTGCTCATGAGTATCATCTCATATAATACAATTTTTTTTCATCGGTATAAAATGGAGTGCAGATCTCAGTAAAATTACATAAATATTATTCATTCTATAAGATTGCAAAACAACAAGTAATGTTATACTTAATAATGAGAATTATTTCTTATATTTGTAATAAAAAGTTTTTAGGGAATAAATTTTTAATCCATGAAATGTATTGTTTTAACCACATTCACTTGTTATCGTTTAAATCTCACGTGCCTCAACCTTTGCTTTAGTAGTTTACTAATAATTAGGTGAATCATAAAAATTATTATTATTGCAGATAAAATTAAAATAGTTATTTACGTATCAAGTGCGGAAAAGACGATTTCCCGCACGAGTCGTGATTGACTCGCACGAGTGGCCAGAGTTGACGGGAACGAGTACAAGTTGAGCACACGAGTGCGGGAAATTGTCTCGCACGAGTTGCGTACAAGTTTTTTCGCAATGTGTGAGGAAAACAGGTACAAAATAGGTATGAATTTTGATTACCAGTGTGTAGCAAAATTTTTTCCAGTGTGTGGCAAAACCATTTCCGTACACCTTTTCCACACACCGTGCGACAAAAACCTTTGCCACACACCTTTCCGCACACTGCTGTGTGGAAAAACTTTTGCCGCACACTATGTGGGAAAATCGATTTTTCACACTAATATCAGTGCGGAATACACCTATTTTCCGCACACTATTGCGAAAAAAATAAAAGTACCCATACCGTATTTACAAGCTAAAAAATTACGTAAGAAAACATTCAAGAGTAACTTATAAAACTTCACCTGGAAGTGTTTTTTTTTTTTTTTTTTTTTTTTTCATGTTTGGGTAATCGTTCTTATCGTTTTTGTGGTTGTTGTGTGAATAGTGTTGTAGGCAACGTTGTTACTTTGTGTCAGTCCGAGAACTGTCTGCCTTTTGTATTGGGATTTGAACTCAGTTGAAGCACTGATTTTTAATGTAAATTTAGATGGTTGCAAAAGTGGGCCTTCTGACATCAGCGCCACCTACCCTCTCATCTTGAAGCAGTTCAGCAGTTGAACAGTTCAAATCCCAATAGTGGAAGGTAAACAACTAGCGTTGTTATGAATAAATACAAACATACATAATTTCAAAATTAATAATTGGCTAATCTTCGTTGATTCTTTTGGTAAAAATCACATAAATGGCGAATCAGAAAACATTTTACTGACATTGAAGCTATAGAGCTCATTCGAATTTGACAATCTTAACGAATCAATATGTTTTCTGAAAAACTAGGAGCGATGGTAACTCAGTCGGTTGAGAGCTGGTCTGAAGTACGACTGCATTTGAGGGCATACACGTCCGATTCCCGCCTAGGGTCAACTTTTCAAAATATTAAATTAGATAGAATATGTTCTGGAGTCTTGCGGTTGGCTCTGTTCCTCGGCGACCCTGGGGTTAGACTCCGTAGGCCACCATTTGGGAGATGGGGGCATGGCTGTTATGAAATATCGAGATATGGGTTAGGGGTAAAGGTGGTCAAGTGACGTCCAAACCGCTAGTTATAGTAGGGGCTTATGGGTTACGTTGGGTAATGGAAGAAGGAAAGGTGTTAGTAATTGGGTTTTTAGGATCAATAACCTCCACGCTGACATAATAGAGGTGTGCACGTGAAAATCACGCAATGTATATATGGATGGTAAAAATATAAGCATACATATGAGTCATTCCACATAAAAGGATACAGAAAAAAGTTTTTTTCCAAAGTTTGAGAATTGAAAAACTATGAAAAAACACTACTAGCATTATTTAACTAATACTTGGCTAAACTCCTTTTCATTAGTAACGGTAGCAAAACAATTTTTNGCAATTTAGTGATGATACGAGACATTGTACGCTATTTAAAAAAAATTTGTGTATTTTAAAAACAATTAAGTGATAAGAACCTCTCGTGGCATTAAATTGCAGTAACAAACATAACTATATTAGTATAAAATAAAAATAGAATCCTTTTCTGTTTATTTATTAAAAAATTAGAGACACGTGCATCTCTAAAAAAAACAAATTCTAAAAGTTAGTTAAGAATGTATTTTATTAATTTTTATTTTAATCAGTACAATGATTCATAGTGTAGGAGGAAGATTACACTCCGCACAGTTACATTCGAAGATATGAGTTTTAAGTATTGTATATGATAAGGCTAGTTTACTTGATACAAATTTTTAATTGGTGTATTGGTTATCAAAAACTATGAAAAAAATTTTTTTGTATGTCATTTATCCTAATTAACAATAATGCGGTACCAAGATGAGCAAACGTGTTTAAAAAAGTGTATTAACAAGTACATATATTTTGAAATACCTTATGAAAATGTCTTCATAAATACATTCAAGGATTAAAAAAATAATAACGAAATCCTATTCGTAACACACTTAATAAAAATTTTTTTTTTGTGTATTTCTATAAAATTTCAAAAAAAATTTATTTCATAAACAATAAGATACATTTGATACATAATCTAATTTTTTGCATAATATTAATTATTGAGTATCAATCACAGGGGACCAAACAATATATCACTATGATGATGATGATTGTTTGAATCATATAATGTGGGTGCCAAATGTGGAAAAAGAACATACGGTTGGGTGTCATTTTAATATCAATTTTTAGTCATACAAAGGCAGGATCGTTAAAAAACACAAATATAAAAGAAAATTAGACGTTCAGGTAAGGTAATAAAGATAAATTTTTTTTCATTTCTGAGCAATATGTGTTTTATTAATAAATAGTAACAAATTTTTACAAGAACCTAATGGCTTAAATACTGAAAGGAAATTAGCCGTAAAACTCAATTTGAATTTATTGCACACAAATTGATTTGTTTTAAAAATAAAATCATCATAAAAAATTACTACATTTAATTCTGAACATTAGTACAATGATTTAAAATGTTTGGTACTTGTTAGATTCTAATAAATTACCATGAATTATTACGTTTGACTCTCCTACCTCCCTTTATGCGACAAATGATTTATCGATGGTTGACAGTGACACTTGAATATTAATTCATAATTGTTAATAATAATAAAATTACTGATGGAATAACAAGTCTCTCTTAAACATGGAAGATTTTTTTCTATCACTATGTTTTTAATAAATTCGAATGAATTTAACTGGTAATTGAGGATGCCAGCGTTTGACATGTCTATTGATATTTGACGAGAAATTATCTTTTTTATGGCAATAGGGGCAGCTGTAACGAGGAGGTGGTCCGCATTTGGATGATTTGTGGCGATAGAAATCGATAATCCTGCGAAAACCTGCTCCACACGCGTTACACACGAAGCAAGTGAGATCACTGGACGACGACAAAGGCTGCTGCCTTGATGAAACATATGGCTTTGGCGTCCCGTTATCTGAAAGGAGAGGAGATGTTAACTTGGCCTGTATGCAAATAAAGCTGGGGCGTTGTGCACTTTTTGTTAGCTCCATAATACTTTGCGGATTTTCATGTGGAACAGTATGGGTGGATCATGCCTTTAAAAAATAATTGATCTGTTTATTCACTTTTTTTATTGATGCTTATCAAAAGGTACATATTACTTTTTTTTTGCAATTTTATTTCATTATTAATAGCATTGTATTTTTAAAATATTTTCAATAATTGGTCTTCTTTTTCATACGATGTTTGATCAAGTATTCATGATTCGTTTATTTTTGTATTCAAAATTAAAAATAGATTGAAATAATTCCACGCAACATAAAATAAGATCCAACACATTGTTAAGTTTTTCTTGATTTATCAAAAACATAACTGAAAATTAATAATTTCCAGTAGCGCCACATAAACTCGAGATAAAAATTGCGATGACAAATAACTAATTCAAAGATTCCTATTCATCTCTGTTTTGGAACCTTCTCATACTTACTAAGCGTTATTTTCGATTTTTTTCTCAATTAAAAAATTGTTGTACAATTGAAGTCAATTTTAGGGCATGTACAAAATATTTATGTATGTCAAGCATATTTTATTGATACCTTTTTACATTGAAAAGCTACAGAAAAACTAGATTTATGAAAATTAAAATTATAATTTTATGAAAGTGTTCACATAAAATACTAACGGAAGATGTCGAAGGAGAATTATTTTATTCACTAATTTATTGCTCATTCCATAAGCCATGAGTGAAGATGAGACTATAGCTACGTAATCAATAAGTTTTTAGCTATTTTGAAAAAAATTTCCAACCAAATCTTGACGTCGATTATTCAGATATTGTAGGTTATGTATCAGAACAGAACAGATTCTCACGAAACTGCATGTTAAAAGTTCAATAATAAAATTATCAATATCTCACTTTATAAGCCATAAAGGGACTTGAAATTTGAATCGAAGATTTTTCATACACTAATTAATCTCTGTTCAAAGTATTATCAATATATTGACGTTAATTCTCTTAGCGAGTGAACTCCCTTAAAGGAAAGGAAGTGTTTTTTTTTTTTTTTTTTTTTTTTCAATACACATTGATGCTTTGTTGCGTATATTTTATTATGCTAATAGTTGCAAAATAATTTAATTATTATTGCAAATGTAAACATCATTAATTGCATAACACTTTAATAATACTAAAAATATGAGTATTGCACTTACAATATATTATCTAAGAAATTATAAGCTAAAGCAATGCTATGGACAGTACGATTAATCCTTTGACACGTTAATGTGCTATTTTCTGTTACTTTAATAACAATGTCATGTCACGCTGATGATGCACTATTTTAAATTATCGAAATAAACATTTCTTACGATATATAGCACTTCAAAATACTGAGTAGAGTTAAAAATGTATCAATAATATTTATATTTCCATCAACCACATGAAAAATAAACAAAAAATGTCATACAACTTATTATAAAATCCCAAGCAAAAATATGGTGCCAAAAAAATGTAAATAATCTCAATTAATATAATATATATTTTATATATAATCCTTATCAAAGATAAGTGAAAGAAAAGACCTCGTTTGTTATTCCTATAAGTAAATACCATTGAAAATGTATAAAAAATCTCCATAAATTAATACAACGTATCGAAAATAAACGAGAAAAACCTTGCCCAACCTGCTCCATCACCCTTTCTACCTATACCCTGTGCCACACTACCTGACTACTCACATTGTTTATCAATGGTAACAACGTAAATGTCTTCATTGGGATGTTTTTTCCGTATGTGAGTGTAAATTTGCGAGGTTTGCTTACACCTGATTCTACAATAAGGGCACATGAATCGTGGGTGTTGTTGGCATTCGTAACGCTCGTGGCGCACGCAGTTGCTCTTAAGAGTAAAGCCTTGGTTGCACTTGTTGCAATAGAAGCGTTTCATGGCTTGGCCCTTGCGGGCAGTCGTCGCGGTATTGCTTTTTCGTTGCGTAGCGTTGGGAACGCAATATTGAGTACAACGCGGAGTGCCGTCCTTTCTCAGTGGATTCAAGATGTTTCTCAAATTTAACAGGTGACCTGAAAAACAAAAATCGATCGTGCATGCGTTAGTGGGGCTTATTTTTGTAAACAATTGTTTAAAATTGCCTCCACCGGGAGAGATTCGAAAATTAAATTGTAGATATGCGTGAGATGAGATGTTTGCTTTGGTGGATGTTTTGCAGTTTGGGATTCAATGATATCATTCGGGAATTATTTTTCTTTGCAGATAGGCGTCAAAGGTTTGCAAAATTTTTTTAGTTTTGTTAACATAAATATTAATAGTATTGCTTTTGATGATGTTATAATTAATAATACTATTACTCGTACCTGTTACAAATAACCTCTTGAAGCAAGTAATATACATTTCTAATATGATAAATGTTTTTCTCATAAACTGTTGAAAGTATTCTAAATCAATGGGTAAGAATTTACTTCACAAATTTTTTCATCAATGATTTTATTACGTTAAGCGATGTTTATTTCATTACATGTACATAAGATATAAGATGATAACAAAAATTATTACATAATTTTTATTGCACGAATGATTGGCGAATCATAAATTTTAAATAAAATTTAAATCAAGAAATCAACAACAATTCAATTGTACGCTATTATATTATATTTCACGCTAACATGTTTTCTCATGTTTCAGGGAGCGTGTATAAGTTAAAAATCTTTATCTGGAAGGCGTATCTCTCAAAAATATTGTTCTTATTTTCGGGAACTCCTAAACATTTTGTGAAATCACTTATCTAACAAGACTGGACTATATGTATATAATGATATTATTTGTGCTTATGTTTTTAACTTTATTTGGTAGATACAGCAATCAGTTCAATCGAGACGAAGAAAGTATCAAATTTTTTTTTCAATTTTGCTCGAGTCTTGAAGTAATTTTTTAATTAGATAAAACAATTTAGATAAGATTTTTGGTCTACGCATCCTCTACATATTATAACTCTAAAACTAGAAAAAATAAAAGTTAAAAAGTAAAAAANTTTTTTTTTTTTTTTTTTTTTTTTTTTTTGCGGATGCGTGTGCGTGTGTTACAAGTGGAAAGGCTGATATTTACATATGGTACACGTGTGAAAAATAAAAAATGAAAAATAATGCACTTGTGTGTGTGTGTGTGTGTGTGTGTGTGTGTCTGCGTTTTTTATTAAAAAAATTAACAATATAATAAAAATAATTTGGTCAAGCTATAGAGAAACAAAATATGCAGTATCTTATAGATATTTCTTCAGTTATTTGACACTTCTACGTTGCAATGAACGAAACACTTCTAGCTTCCAGGTATTTGGCTTTTATGCATGAAAATGCTAAATTTCTACTTGGCCTTGTAATTACAGTATATCGAAAAGCCGCACCAATGCTATGCATAGCCTGAAGTTTATGTCAACAACTGAAAAAGTTATTCAATTCGTTAGTAAAATTTTAATTGGTGATTTTGGAGGAAATAAGATGGATTTTTTTTTTTTTTTACAATTGAATTTTATTTACTACAGCAATTTAGTGATGATACGAGACATTGTACGCTATTTAAAAAAAATTTGTGTATTTTAAAAACAATTAAGTGATAAGAACCTCTCGTGGCATTAAATTGCAGTAACAAACATAACTATATTAGTATAAAATAAAAATAGAATCCTTTTCTGTTTATTTATTAAAAAATTAGAGACACGTGCATCTCTAAAAAAAACAAATTCTAAAAGTTAGTTAAGAATGTATTTTATTAATTTTTATTTTAATCAGTACAATGATTCATAGTGTAGGAGGAAGATTACACTCCGCACAGTTACATTCGAAGATATGAGTTTTAAGTATTGTATATGATAAGGCTAGTTTACTTGATACAAATTTTTAATTGGTGTATTGGTTATCAAAAACTATGAAAAAAATTTTTTTGTATGTCATTTATCCTAATTAACAATAATGCGGTACCAAGATGAGCAAACGTGTTTAAAAAAGTGTATTAACAAGTACATATATTTTGAAATACCTTATGAAAATGTCTTCATAAATACATTTGCACTTGGTTATACACATGTAAAACATTTAAAGTAAATACGAATGTATCTGTAAATACATCACCTTCAGTCGTACAAATTGAAAAAAATAAAAATAAAATAAAATTCATAAGTTGATTATGAAGTTTTTTTTTTTTGTTTTTTTTTTTTTTTTTTTTTTTTTTTTTTTTTTTTTTTTTTTTTTTTTTTTTTTTTTTTGGGTTCTTACAAAACAACGATGTAATATGACACAAAGTGTAAAATTAGAGCAACGGAATTGAGAATCACTTAAGCTTAGGTAAACGATCACTTTCTAATCTTATAACTAATTTTTTTACCTACGATGAAAAGAAATTTTAGATTTTTTTTGTTCTCTTCAGATTGCGTGGAGACCACGCAACATATGGTAAGGTGAAAAATCAGTATAATCGTAGAAAAAATTGAATCAGCCAAAAATTCACTCAACATCCACCAAAGGCTCGTCCGAGTCGTCCGACTCATCCACACCCGGAGGCTTGCCATTCTCCGACGGGCCATCCTCCCCCAGCCCTTCATTAGCCTTCGATTGGCCCTCCCCGGCAACGTCCCCGTTACTTTCAATTACCGGCAACGCTGCCGCCACTTGGATCTTCGACAGCAACTGTTGGCACACCTCGACGCTCCTCAGTTGGGGCTGGTCCGCCAGCTCCTCGGGATCATACGGCTCGAACCCATCCAGCAAGTCATCCTCAAGGTTGAAGGGCTCCAGCAGGGGCTCGCTCTCCCTGGCCAAGCTCTTCTCGGTTATCATCGGATACAAGCGCGGCCTGCCTCGCTTACGGTCCGACCCTTTTTTAATGATTTTTAAACCCGTCGGTGTACTCACGACCTTGGCCAAGTGGCCGGGCTTCTTGTGCTTCCTCTTCCTCTTCATCATCTTCTCCAACATCTCGGCTGCGCTCGCGCCGCTCAACTGCTGCTCCGGACCAAAGGACTCGTTATCCAGCGTCGCCGGCGTTGAAACGCACTCGTCGGCCAGACCCGACAGCTCGAGGTACGACGAGGACGCCAAGTGGGCGTACTTGCGCGGTCTGCCGCGCTTCTTGGCCAGGACCGGACTCGCCACCTTCTCGTGGCCGTTCACCACCTTCGGTGGCCTGCCCCGTTTCCTCGGCACCACCGCCAAATTGCTCGTAGCTTCCAGCGTGCTCTCGTTGGCCAGCGTCGCGTCCAAGTGGGCCGAGTCGTTGTCCTCGCTGGCGGGCTCCTGCTTGATGGACACCTTCAGCACCGACAGATCCCCACCTTCCAGGGACGCCGGCTCTTGGTCGGTGGTGCTCTTGGACTTGCGGGGCCTGCCGCGCTTCTTCGGCACCCGGGGGGCACTAGGGACGAGGGACCTCGGTTTGGGCGGGCGCCCGCGCTTCCTTTGCACCGCGGTCTCGGGCGGGTCCCCGCCTTCGCCTCCCATGGACGCTGGCACCTCTTCGGGTGCAGCCTGGGCCTCTATTGCGGCACCATTTGCCGACGGGTTCAGATTGGAGGGGGGGCTGACGGCCTCCGTGGTAAAGTCCGGGACAAGTGGCGGTGCGTCCGTGTCCTTGGCTCGGGTGATCTTGATGAAAGCCGCGGGGTTCTTGACTTTGGTGCTCGGGACCGGTGGATAATCGGTGGCCAGGGGGTCGAGGTCCGTTTGGCTCTTGGCCAGGGAGCCCGGGGATCCGCCGCGTCCCCTCTTGAACAGGGCCACCGGGTTTTCCAGGGCACCGGCTTCGAAGTGAAAGTCGTCAGGGTCGGATGGGACGGGGCTTGGCGCTTCTACCTTGATCTTGGGCAGGTCGGGCTGGCTGGTGTGCTTGACGACGTCGGTCACTTGGATGACGACGCCCTTGGCCTTGGCAGGGCCCTTCTTCTTCTTGAACGGCCGGCCGGGCTTGCGCTTGGCGAAGTTGGCGTTGTACTTGTTGAGCCGTCTGGCGTCCTCCTGGTATCCCATGATTTTCTTTATCTTCAGGAGATTCAGTTCCGGCAGTGGCATCGTGCTCGGGAACTTCTTGGGTCGGCCGGGTCCCTTTCTGATGATGGCTCCGTGGATTTGCGTCATCACCCGGCCGCCGCCAAAGCCCGGGTTCGTTATGCTCACGATGTTGCGGACTCTGATGGGCGGGTGACGGCTTGGGCCTGGAACATGCGCAAAGGGTGCGTTGTTTATTACGTAATGGCTCGTGGAGTCTATTGGGATAGAGTCGCATTAATTTAGCCTAGTACGGACGAAATGGGACTACTCAAAGGTAATGTGCGGGTACGTTTTTTTTTTTTTTTTTTTTTTTTGCGGATGCGTGTGCGTGTGTTACAAGTGGAAAGGCTGATATTTACATATGGTACACGTGTGAAAAATAAAAAATGAAAAATAATGCACTTGTGTGTGTGTGTGTGTGTGTGTGTGTGTGTCTGCAGGCGATGTGACATTTTCTTTCTCTGTAAATTTTTTGAGATGCCACAGGTGTTGTTACGTTCTTCTTTTATTCAATACACAACGAAATTTTTTTGTACTTTCAGCGCTGCATGTGTTACTGCAGAAACCCAAGTGTCGATGAATGGTCATCTGAAAAAATTATAGTTTGTTAATTTCTCATCAAATGTGCAATAGTATGTTTGTGCAGTGGTTATCATTTCACAAATTGCATTTTTAGTTACATAAATTGTTACTTTTTTCCTTTATTTTTTAATTTGAAAAAATGATGACAAACTTGATTATTACAAAACAAATGTATTCTTTATTCAAATAATTTTTAATACAAGAAATGTTTTTACATGTAGTAAAAAATAAAACTACTTATACCATAGACATTATTTCTGAATTTGGCATAATATTTTAATCAAATATTTTCATGGTTATTGATTGTTTGAAGACACACCGAATCAATGATTTAAAATAACGAGAGCATTAAGCTGGTGCATTGAGCGTATTTGAATTTTTATCATGAAAAAGAAATTTAGGGCACTGTATACATTTCTCAATAATGTAAACAAAATCTAGCCTAGTTTATAAGATGAAAAAAATTATAATCAAATCATTATTTTAGAAAAAATTCTTGTTCTACCTTAAATTGTAACACGATGAAAAGTAATTTGCAAAGTTAATGCAAAAAAAAAAAAGAAAAAGAAAATTAAACATTAAAAATATAAAAAAAGCAAAATTGTCGAAAGGATAAATCAACTCTTCCTTTCTTCAAGTGGACAAGTTGGTGTCGATGACAACCGGCTCCAAATCCTTGTGCCGATTATTATTGTGCCTAATGACGCTTATGGGATAGGCGCAGATGAACTCGCAGTGTCCACAGCGGTAGTGCGGATCCACGAGGCATTCAAATTC